CCCACACCCCAGACCCACACCCATACTCACCCACACCCCAGACCCACACCCGCAAGGTCGAAATCGCGATCTTGGCTTGCTGTACTCACCTTTGTTAGAGTAATATCTATCGAACATAGTTTGAAAGTGACTGCTTTCTACTACGGTTCTGTATAGATTATAGTAATTTATCTATGATCTTTGGATTTGGACGATTACTGCAGAGTTAAAGCCAACTGATGAGTTCTTTAGCAGGAACAAAATCCGGATCTTGGCTAGCTGTACTCACACTCTCACCATCACTTACACAGCCACAGCCACACCCAGCAACGGAACTTTGTACTTCTCCAGTACAGTGAAGTACGAAGTCCTGCTTTCTTCTCCTTGAGTTTGGGTCTCAATCTATATCTAGCTATAGTGTATGCCTCGATCTGGATGCAGCAATGCTAGGTCCACACCCACAACTCAAGCTGACTTGTTGGTAAATTTTGCGGTCTAGACCGATATAAAAGAGGCTTCTTTGTCATACACAAAGAATCGTATCTCACCACAAAAAGTCATACAAATCTGGAATGAAGATAGACAGTGAAGATGAAAGAGGAATAAAGTATTCACCAACTTTTCTCAGCTATATTACAGTTCTTACAAAGACAACATATCATGTGTCTGTCCATAAACATGTATTTGGAAGAGTAGGAACGATAAAAGTATTATTCAGGAATGCAAGAAAGGTACAAATCTGTAGCATGACGAACTAATTCGATAATAGTTCATCTATAAAAAACGGAATGGAGAATATATGATGTCCACCATACTTTTTGTATTGGTCCCAGCAATAGTTGACTAAGAGCTTTTCAGGATCGCTCAAATATCTGTCTCCATCAGTCTCAGCATCAGTTTGACCCGTACCATTGAGCGCAATACTACTAAATCTTAGTTCATCAAAGAGATAAGCAAACCCACCACATGCAATGCGCTTCTGATCAGATTCAATACCCATGATGTTTTTCAAGAGGTAGTCATGCACAGTTCCTTGTCCTACTGGTTTATAGTAGTCTTTTGGCCATTTGTCTGTACATTGTATAATGACGTAAAAACTTCTTCCTCTATGTCCATGAGCTCTTCCACCCTCTATCCATTATAAAAAAGAATAAAAAGAATTCATATAAATAAATGCACCTCTTCTGAATGTACTGTCTTCTATACTCACCACGATTCTCCCATTCGAATTTTCCATCGATTGCATATACAATAACACCAACATATTGAAAAAATGGATTGAATTTATCAGAAAAAACGGATATTTCACAAGTCACATTTCCCTGTTCCCTTTTGATACGTCGATAAAGATCTTTGAAATTCTTTTTACCCATCTGAAATAACAGCAGTGTTTCCACTTAACATGGTTTTGATTTTTGAGTAGCAAACTTTCGTGTTAAAAGACGTTTCCGTTTATGTGGCAATGAACAGAAAAAGAATATCGAAACTAATGAGTGGAAAATTATAGAATTGGAAATGCGTAGGCATGGAATATGCCTATTAGGGCGAAAAAGATCATCGGTACATCCGAAATCTATGACCATTCTAGAAGGAGCGAAGTGAAAGCCTTCATATCGTTTAAGTAATAAGTCTTCTGCTCAAAGTTACAGTACAACCTCCTTATGTGAACACTTTCTAACGTGGGACATTTTTTTCAAGTTCATCTTTTTATCATTCAATCCAATATGAACATGTTTCTATAGATCGATAGAATTTCAAATAGAACTTGCTTGTCACTCATTAAATATCATGATTCGGATAAAATTGAACAAAGTGTACGTACAGACAGACAAAAACAGAATAGGCTAATCGACATGACACAAGGCGAGAATAAAGATGAATAACAGAACAGAACAACATGAAGGTAGATGAATGTGATACAGAACAAAAAAGAAAACGAATGAAACAAATATAAGAGAGATCAATCAGGGAAAAATTGATCATACGATCATTTGTTTTTAATGAAACGACACGAATTAACGCTCGAACAAAAAATTTCATTAATGAAAAATAATAGCAATGGCACTGGTTTATCAATTCGTAAGTCAACAGAAAAGTATTCGATTTTCAAGAGTAGTGTTGCCAACATCTTAAGTCGTCGTGCTAAGTACGAAGAGGACTATTTAATGAGTACTAATAAAGACGTAAAGCGTAAATTAAAGAACAACAATGGGAAAAAATTGATGAAATTCTCTTGAAATAGTTCATGACTCAACGATCGAAGAAAATCCGGATATCATGTCCAATATTGTAAGAAAAAGCTCTACAAATCGCAGAAGAAATCGGTGTTCAATAAGATGAATTCAAGGCTTCTAACGGATGGCTAGAAAAGTTTCGACATTTACATATGATTGGATGCCGGCAAATATCTGGTGAAAGTGCGGAAGTACCTACAGCAACTATCGAAGAGTGGAAACATCGGCTTTTACCAATTATTGATGAATATGATGAAAATGATATTTACAATGCAGATAAAACAGCACTATTATTTCAAGCTATTCCTGATCGATCACTGGTTCTTCACAAGAAAGACTATAAGAGTGGCAAGCATTTCAAAGAATGCTTTATTGTGTTACTTTGGTCTAATTAGAGCGGCTCTGATAAATTGAAACAATTATTTACTGATGAGTCATTATGGATGACTATCTAAAGCACCTCTACCTATCATTTTAGGAAAAAATCATCCGCCTCCCTGTTTGAAAAATCTTAACATACCTGACTTTCCTGTAACATGGAAATCCGTTAGGACAGTATGGATGAACGTAAAACATTTTTCAGAATGGCTCATCGAACTAGATAAAAAAATGAAAAAAATATTCACGCAACGTTCTTCTCTTTCTGGACAACGCTCCTTGTCGTCCAATCGATGTAGAATTATCCAACATAAAATTTTTTTTTCCTCTTGATACAACCAATTTAGCGCAACCTCTCGACCAAGGTGTTATTCATTCCTCTAAGTGCCATTACTGCCGAAGACTCGTGAAATATATTATTGCTCAATATACTATAGCTTACAGTGTTCATTGAATTACAGTAACAGCATTGTATGGTATTCAATGGATTAATAAGGCAAGGAATATGATTACCAATAGAGGTGGGCACTTTAACTTAAAACTTAATTTTAAGTTTTAAGTGAAAAACTGAGACCATGACGTAAATGAATTACAAAGTAATTCAAAAAGCACCATTTATAAGGTATAACAGAGTTTTGTGGCACCCACATCGAGAGCGATGTGGTGTAAGTCGTTTCGTGGCACGCACATTGAGAGAGATGTGGTGTAAGCCGTTTCCCGGCACCCACATCGAGAAAGATGTGATGTAAGTCATTTTGCGGCTACTAAACCCAGACCCTGGTAGGCAATGGTAGACTCTGGAGATTCTGGTAGACCCTACTAGACCCTGGAGACCCTGGCAGATCCTACTAGATCCTGGAGACCCTGGTAGACTCCACTGCTTTAACAATTTTGAATTATTTTGTAATCAATGCTTTTTGAATTACTTTATAATTCATTTACGTCATCCGATATAAATATTTACTCTAATGGCAACTACTCTCTTTTTACATCAACATTTGACGATTTGCGGCTGGAGGATTTTGTTTTGGACCGTTAACAGTATCATATTTGAAATCAAAAAAAACATACTAAGTCGATTCGTGTTTGTTTCATACTGTTTCTATGATTGTCTTATTTCTCTCAAAGTTTGATTCCTACTACCCTTCAGAGATGGATGGAATAATGCAATTCATCAAAACAATCTGTTCACTACTATATTGGAGACGCCTTTTGGATCAGTCATATGTCAACTTCAAACAAAAAGAGAAATTAATTTTGATTTTTGATCTTTCTTGTACTTGATTTTTTTCTTCATCCGTGAGCGGTAGGAGCGACAAAGTTTTGAGCAAAATAAGAAAATCGTCGAAACAATATGAAACAGACACTAATACACTTCACACTTTGCACTGTAAACTATAAAATAAATTATAGAGTATAGCAGAGGATATTCTAGAAAAGTTTATAAGAGTTCACTGACGAATTTCTACTTTCTTGAAAATTCGATATTCAAGAAAATTGAAATAACAAATTCGATTTTCTAACTAGAAAATCGAAAGTGAATTTATATGAATTTTTCTAGAATATCGCATTTGATTTAGCAACTGGAGCATTTTTTAGAAAGTTGAAAATTTAGTAGGACTTTCTCTGTTTCTCATAGAAAATGCCTCCAATGAGATCAATAATTAAATAATTTAAATTGAAATAATTTCATAAACATGCGCTTCATATAAATGCATCAAATGGAATAAATAAATAATTTAAATTTAAATAATAACAACCTTTAATTCATATAAATGCGCCAAATAACATAATCAAATAGTTTTAATTGAAATATAAATAATAACATAATATTTAACTTATATAAACGTATCAAATGAAATACACAAATAATTATAATTTAAATATAAATAATATCATAATATTTAATTTATATAAATCCATCACATAACATAAATTAATAATTTAAATTTAAATTTAAATTTGAATATTATAAATATGTAATTCATATCAATGCATCAAAAATCATAAATAAATAATTTGGATTTAAATACAGGGTGTCTGGAAAGTAGCTTCCTATTTTAAATTCTTTTTCTCTTTAATAAGAATAGATATTGTATTACTTTTTTTTTACTATTTTGAAGCATGCTTTATCAGGTTTTGTTTTACATAAGAAAGAATGCTAATGAATTGACTATGTAAAATCAAACACAAATTTTATCTGCAGAATGTTTGAAAAATAACTTCTTATTTTTTATCGTTTATTACTTTTATGCAAAACATATTTGTTGTAATCATTTTTTCATGATTTTGAAATGCAATACTGTCACGACTATTTTTGAGACATTAATGGGTAAACCTATTACACATACCTCAAAACAGAAAAACATTATTACAACATATATGCTTTGTATAAAAGTAATAAACGATGAAAAATAAGTTATTTTTCAAGCATTCTTCAGATGAAATTTGTGTTTGATTTTACATAGTCAATTCATTAACATTCTTTCTTATGTAAAACAAAACCTTATAAAGCATGCTTCAAAACAGTAAAAAAAAGTAATACAATATATATTCTTATTAACGAGAAAAAAAGAATTTAAAATAGGGAGCTACTTTCCAGGCACCCTGTATATACAAAATGGACTGACTCACAGAGCAGATGTAAAAAAGTTTATCAACTCACTAATTGCCGGAGAACATACACACTAAGTTAAAATGTATCGCATGTGTCGTGGTTTACGACACAAGGCACGACACATGCGACACATTTTTTACTGGTTCTTCTGAAAACGCATACTATGAATTTTTTTCAATTTAATTCTATTATAATTATTTCTGCTCTGAAAACTCAAGCAGGTTACATATTGAGATCTTTCCAGCCTCGAGTTGGTCCGATCTCTGCCAGACCGGTTCAGGGTAGTCCTTTCTCGAATGTTGATTGAGAGTGGCATTTTCTCGACTAATAAATTCTCGAGAAATAATCTAAAAATAAATTATTGTGAAAATATTTATCTTTCCTACATTCAACCGTGTTGCTTATATATGGCTGTGCGTGCATAACAAAAACGGTGAATGAATAGTGAACAAACAGAACGCGACAAATTCGTATACAACACATTCTAAGCACGACACATTGTTATGTAGGGATGCACGACACAATAACTCACGACGTATAAATGCGACACATTTTATGTTAGAGTGTAATGAATGCATAGCACTATCGGCCGACTTATATACATGAATGAACAATGACTATACAGCGGTCATTGTTAAAATGAACTTTTTCGAAAATCAAATTGAATTTCTATAGATTAGAAAATCAAGCATTTTCTAAATTTTCAAAATTTGGCTAATGAATTATGGAAATTTGAAAATGCTGCAGCTTTTTTAAAGTCGATTTTCTAAAAAGTAGAATTTCAAAAAAATTTACAGTGTGTGCTGATTCCGAATATCATACTTTTAAAAGTCCAAAACAAATTTCTTCATTCGAAGAACGTCAAATATTGATCTTAAACGGCGGTATCCCTTGTAATACTGAGGTCTTATAACGAAAGTATACCTCCACGTATCGAACTCCAAAGTAAAAGCTACATAGCAAGTAAGAATACGCTGCATAAATATTAAAAGGATAAAATAATTCTGATCAATTCAACAACAAACTTACCTGTACTATTACCAAATAACGAGTGATGCAAAAGTTCTGCATTAATTTTCTTTTCCTCCCTATACTACGCACGAACATTCTAGGCTTTTGATTCTTTTTTCGTTAGAAAGAGCAA